CAACAAGCAGGGAAGGATGAGATCTTGTCCTCTCTACTCCGAGGCAGAGGAATTGGTGTGTCAGAAACCAGGTGACCATACAGGTGTGTACCTCCTAAGTTCTTAGAATTCCCTGGCCGACGTACTGAGCAGGACTCTCTGCATAGACCACAAATGGAAACTACACAACACAGTCCTGACTGATCTCTTTGCATGGTGTGGTACTCCCTGATGAGACCTCTTTGCATCACAAATTAATCAAAAGCTTCCCATCTGCTGCTTGAGGAAGGCTGTAGGCAGATACTCCCAGGGTGATGTTCCCCTGCTCCCCTGAATGGGTGACCTTCAATATACCTTTCTTCCAATTCCCTTTCTGCCTCAAGTTCTCCGGAAAGTTCTCCAGGACAGACCATCATCATTCTCATAGTACTCTACTGGCCCTGGGAGTTCTGGTTCACAGACCACCTGAAGCACTCCACTGGTCAGGCTCCAGTCATTCCTGGATCTTCTCAAACAGGACCAAGGGAGGCTTGCATCCCAATTCAGTCTCTCTTCACCTCATGGCCTGGGGTTTGGATGGGCATCTGTGATGGGGTGTCCACCTAACACAGGATTGGAAGGGGTTAAGTTGGCCTGGCTGGCCAATTAATTCCCCAGGCTGCACCTGGAGAAGGAGCCAGGCAGCAGGAAACTAACTGATTGCACACAGGCTCACTTTTGCAGGAACAGATGGAGCCTATAAAGCCGGAAGCTGGCTACAGATGCCGGGTTTCAGGTTAGTAGGCTGCAGCCACTCCTTGAGTGGAGGGAGTTGGGAGGCTGGCAAACCTAGAGAGAGGGGAAGCTAGATAAGTAGGAAGAAGGCCAGGGAAACAGCAGCAAGGGGTGGGACCATGCAGAGACCTTGGCTGCTTGTTATAGGGTCCTTGGCTGGAACCAAGTGCAGTGGGCAGGCCTGGGTTCCCCTACTAGCCACTAAGAAGTGGCAAGGGCGTTGGAGTTGCCAGCCAGACAGCGGGTCTGGAAGGACTTTTGAATTCCCCAGAAGGGGAGAACCTTAATGACCGGGCTGGAGGGCCAAGCCACAAAGAGGAGACTGCAGTTCGTGGAGTGAGAGAGCCAGCAGGGCATGACAGCACGGGTGAAGACACCACCGGAGGGGGAGTGCAACACCTGGCAGAGATAAATTTCCAGGACAGACAGCAGGAGACGCTGCTAGTGGGGAGTGAACCCCGTGACAGTGTCTAACATAGAACGTGCATGTTCAGCCTCAGTCCAATGGATCCTTAACCAGAGTAGGAAAGAGTCCAACAGAATGTGCTACCAGACAAAGCGGCACCTCTTCTTGAAGTGGGTGCACTGTCATCATCATTCTCTTGACATGGTGACCATCCGGGTTGTCCTCGAGTATTTCTTCACCCTGAAAACATTGGGCTTAGCCCTCAGCTCCCTCTTTGTGCACCTAGTGACATTTAGTACCTTCCTTCCCATAGTGGAGGGATGCTCTATCTTCATGCACCCAAAGGCAGTATATTTTATGAAAGGCTTGGTCAGAACCTTCCCACCTGTTGTCAAACACAGGCTCCAGTGGGATCTTAACCTCGTCCTCTCAGCTCTCACAGAACCACCCTTCGAACCTATGGCAACCAGTACCATGACCCACCTTTCATGAAAGTTGCATTCCTATTAGCCATCACTTTGGCCAGGTGGGCTAGTCAGCTAACGACTATGACAGCAGTGGTTTTCCACAAGGAGAAGATTTCACAGAGGTTGCACTGCAAATTCCTCCCCAGGGTTGTGTTTGAATTCCATCTCAGTCAATCAATCCACTTACCTGTATTCTTTCCAAAACCACATGCCTCTCCTGGATGTCAGACATGCCCTAGCATTCTACCTACAAAGAGCTAGGCCCTTTAGAAACTTTCTGAGGGTATGTCAACACTACAAAATTAGGTTGATTGTATAGAAGTCGATTTTTAGAAACTGATTTTATAGTCGATTACGTATGTCCACACTAAGCTCATTAAGCCAGCGGAGTGCATCCTCACGACCGTGGCTAGCATCATCTTACAGAGCGGTGCACTGTGGGTAGCTATCCCACAGTTCCTGCAGTCTCTGCTGTCCATTGGAATTCTGGTTAAGCTCCCAGTGCTTGATGGGGCAAAAATATTGTTGCGGGTGGTTTTGGGTACATGTCGTCAGGCCCCTGTCCCTCCCTCCTTCCTCCCTCCATGAAAGCAACGGCAGACAATCGTTTCACGCCTTTTTTCCTGGGTTACCCATGCAGACGCCATATCACGGAGCCCGCTCAGCTCACCGTCACCGTACGTCTCCTGGATGCTGCTGGCAGACACAGTACTGCATTGCTACACAGCAGCAGCTCCTTGTCTTCGCGGCAGATGGTACAGTAGGACTCTTAACTGTCGTACATCTCCTGGGTGCTCCTGGCAGACCTTGGTGAGGTCGATCGGGGCGCCTGGACAGACATGGCTATCCTCCTCTTAGAGCACCGAATGGGAGCCAGGTCATTCTCTTCTTTAAGTTTCGTCTCATGAAGATTCAATCCTGCCTGGAATATCATGCAAGCTGGAGGCTTCTGCCTCAGGCTGCTCTCCCAGCTGGCACAGTCGCACCTACCCCAGACTACCTCTTGCTCCCATGGCTCATGAAGCCTGGAGAGTAGTAAGGAGCAGTTTAACTACAGGCTGAGCAAGTGCAGAATGATGGTAGAATGTGCCTTTGGACCTTTAAAAGCTCGCTGGCGCTGTTTGCTGACTAGTCAGACCTCAGCACAACCAACATTTCCATTGTTATTGCTGCTTGCTGTGTGCTCTATAATATCTGTGAGAGTAAGGGAGAGATGTTTATGGTGGGGTGGGAGGTTGAGGCAAATCGCCTGGCATCCGATTTTGAGCAGCCAGACACCAGGGTGATTAGAAGAGCCCAGTAAGGCGCACTGCACATCAGAGAGGCTTTGAAAACCAGTTTCATGACTGGCCAGGCTTCGGTGTGGCAGTTGTGTGTGTTTCTCCTTGATGCAAACCCACCCACTTTGTTGATTTTAATTCCCTGTAAGCCAACCACCCTCCCCCCTTTGAAATAAAGTAACTATTGTTTTGAAACCATGCATTCTTTCTTTATTAATTAAAAAAAAATGAGATAACGGACAAGGTAGCCCGGGTGGGGTGGGGGAGGAGGGAAGGACAAGGCCATATTGCTTATTGTAGCTACACTAAAAATCACTGTTTGAATGACAGCCTTCTGTTGCTTGGGCCATCCTCTGGAGTGGAGTGGCTGGGTGTCCAGAGCCTCCTCTCCGCGTTCTTGGGCTTCTGGGTGAGGAGGCTAGGGAACATGGGGAGGAGGGTAGGCGGTTATACAGTGGATGCAGTGGAGGTCTGTGCTCTTGTTGGCTTTCCTGTAGCTCCAACAGATGCTTCATCATGTCCGTTTACTCCCCCATTAGCCTCAGCATTGCGTCCTGCCTCCACTCTTTGTGCTCACTTAATTCTTTCCTGGCCTCTGCCACTGAATGCCTCCATGCATTAAGCTGTGCCCTATCAGTACGGGAGGACTGCATGAGCTCAGAAAATATGTCATCGCGAGTGCATTTTTTTCATCTTCTAATCTACGATAACCTCAGGGACAGAGATGATAGGGGGAGCATAGAAACATTCTATGCTCTATGATTCTGGGGGGACTGCATGGTCATGAGTGCTGCTGAGTTCGCCACGCTGACCAAACAGGAAATGAAATCCAAAATTTTCTGGGGTTTTTCCTGTGTACCTGGCTAGTGCATTGGAGTTCAAAGTGCTGTCCAGAGCGGTCCCAATGGAGCACTCTGGGATAGCTCCTGGAGGCCAATTTGCGTCCACACTATCCCAAATCGACCCAGCAAGGTCAATTTTAGCGCTACTCCCCTTGTCAGGGAGGAGTACAGAAGTCGATTTTAAGAGCCCTTTAGGTCGATGGAATGGGGTTGGTTGTATGGATGCAGTAATTTTTAAATCGACCTAACGCAGCTAAATTTGACTTAAGCCCATAGTGTAGACCAGGCCTGAGACTCTTTTTGTTGCCATGGTGGAGAGATCAAGGGGCCACGCCATATCCTCACAAAGGATCTCTAAGTGGATCTTGGGCTGCATACTGTTCAAATACTTGAATGCTATAAGATATCAAACTTCCCCCTGCTGGGGGTCTTACAGTTCTCTCCACAGGGACACATGCTGCCTCCAGTTACAGTAAGTAACCTCCTCTTTGAGCTGTGATACAAACATGTATTCCACAACCCACTCTCCATCCCCTCTGCATCGGAGTCGATACTTTTGACATGTGGTGTGTAGGAACTGAGGGGGGTCATGGCGGCACTACCTCATCTAGCCAGGGAGGGGCTACAGCTACGAGGCATGAGTGCCGCTCCACCTACAGATACTCCTACACAAAATTCTCTGGCTCCAGTGCACTAGGTGTGTGTATATCTGCATCACATCTCAAAGAACCACAGTTACAGGAAATAAGAGTTTCTTTTTGTACCTGCAATTTGCTTTTTCATCAAAGTTGTGTTATTTTTTGTTGATTATCTATTGTGGATCATCTACAAGGACTGAAAAAATGTCTGGAATAAGTATCATGGGGCTCGAGATTGCCCCTCCACATGGTTCTGAAGGATTCGATCCACTAGTATCGGGTTAACCAACATGCTAGCTCAGAAAAAATAAATTAGCAAGTGAAGAAAATTTTCCTTTCCAGCTTGACGTGGAAAAGTTGGGTTTAGTTCATACATTTGCTGCTGTTGTAGAACTGTGATAAAAGTAAAGCATTTACATTGTTTTGTGTACTATAAACTATATTCTGTTGTCAGAGGATATGAATAAAATTAATCCTACTGCTCTAATAATAAAATCAATCTTACTACGTTCTATTGTCAAAGTGTAGGAATAAAATTAATCCTACAGAGGCTAAAATATAGTATATGTTGTTTAACATACCATTTTTAATTTTATCCACTATTGGCAATGAAGTTACAAGCAAGGACGTTTACCATGGAAGAAGAAAAGGTACTGTGTGTAATTGCATTATTACTATAATTTATCGTTCAATGGAAAAATGTGACAGGTGTGTTATAAAAATTGAAAATGTACATTACATGTGTTTTGAGTATAAACTATAAAAGATCATGTAGTAATAATAATAAACTATTATTATTTTTATAGCAGTAGTGCCTAGAGGGCCCATCTGAGATTAGGGTCCCAATGTGGTAGGTGCTGTACTAACATATAGTAAGAAAATATTAATATTGCATAATGCATATAAGTATACTAGTTTAACTGCACAAAATAAGTATTAAATTAAGCATAGAATGAAAAATGTTGACGGTTTTCATAAGGTTGACCTGGTTAAATTTTGATTTAATTGTAATTGCCTAAAATCCTCTTGTTTCAACTGGATAAAGTATTTTTCATCTCTGATCTTAAATAACTGTTAATGTGCACTCTTTTAAATGGTTGCTGAATTTGACCCCAGAGGTGGCTGAATTTTAATGATCAATACTGATCCCTATACAGTATATAGTTTACACTGTTTATAGTTGACCCCTATACAGTGTATAGTTTACAATATATAGTTGACACTCTTAAACTGAAATAAGTGTCTGTTTAAATTGGTTTTTACACCAATTTAAGTTAAACTGGAGTAACTTTCTCATGTAAACAGGCCCTCAGAACTTATCTACACGCAAATTTGTACTGGTTTAACTAATAGTATGTTTTAAAACCAAGATAGTTAAACCAGTACAAATTTGTGTGTAGGCATTTTTATTTCAGTTTAGCTTCATCCTTTTTTACAGGATTAAGCAAAATCATAAATTCTTTAACTGAAACAAGCGTGTCTGTACATAAACTTGCACCAGTTTACCTAAATCAGTTAAAAAATATGTTGAGAGTAAAGCAATGAGTGCCTTCAAACCTAATGGTTAACAGCATTCATTTGAGGGAGAGGAGAGCTCTTTTTAGGTTGTGCAGCATCTCTACACACTTCTAGGCATCATCTTGGTTGGTGTTTTCCAATTTTCTTTGACAGCTGTTGGTGAAGAGTCAAATTTTGCACTGATTTATACCATTTTCAACACCACCAAAATCAGTAATCACTTTGATTTGTACTAATGTAATTGCATGGATAAATTGACCCATCCTCTCTTAACACAAAGGACAAATTCTGCACTAATATTGTATGCATTCAATTGAAGTAATTTTACTCATACAGGTGATTTTGGGAGATTGCATGAGATATAATTCAGCACATAATTTAACCAATAGCATTCTGGAAACTGAAAGAAAGAACAGACTAGAGTTGAACATGTTGTTCCAGGGACAAAGGCCCAGATCCTCAAAGGTATTTGGCCCCTTAATTACAATTGATTTCAATGGAAGCTGGGAGTCCAAATACCTTTGATCTGGGCCAACGTCTTTTGGCTTGATTCTGCACTCAAATCTGGAGCAACTCCACTGAAGTGTTTTAGAGTTTCACAGGGTAATTGAGATCAGAATCTGACACAATATATTTGCTGATTGAGAAAACAGAAAAAGTTGTTTCTGAGAAGACCTTGGTCCAATGCATAGGTAAATGGCTCTACATTGTGCTGTTTTGGTATTTAATATCTTGGTTCAAAACTGAGATAATTCGTTAATCCTGCGTTTATGCCTCACATTGCTCTGCCATAAAGGAAATAATCCACTTGGAGTCCAAAGTTCCCGGACTACTTGTAAGCAGGGAAAAATCACCATTGTGCTCTCTGTTTTAATCTCTTTTTAACAGATTTCTAAATACTCCAGATATTGACTTAGCTAAATGCTACATGATTGTTTTGCATGCAGATTGTTCTACATGGTCAAGAATCTATCACAGTAGAGTAGTGCTTTATATTCTTTACAATTGTGGTTGACAAGTTTTTGTCATAATGTGTTTGATTTTTCTAAATGCTAAAGTATGACTTCTGATTTAAAGGGCAAATATCAGCTTGCTATAGAAACAAAAGAAAAAGAAATTGATGGGCTGAAGAAAACATTAAAAACATCACAGGTAAATTAACTTTATTGTTAAATGCAGTACTCATATAGCTCTTTGTTAAGTGGAAAGCTTTTCTTTATTCTTTGTTTTTAAAGGGGGTCTTCTAGGAGCTCTTACTTTCTTTTTTTACTGTACAGGTGCACCTGACCTCCGAGGAGCCAGGTCAGCTGCTGCCTGAGTTTCCCTCGCCTGTCCACAGTCTTTCTTTATTTCTCAGGGCTTTTTAATTTAGTGCTTCCCTTCTAGGAGGACTTCTGGGGAAATAAAAAGTCCTAATGAAGTATAAAACACTGTCCTTTGCTCTCTCTGGGACACAGCCGTCCTTTTTCTTTGAAGTCTTCTCCTCTGGCTACAGAGAAGTGAAGGGTTTTTTCCCCCCACTCTCTGGAAGCCTTGGCAAGGGACCCCTAAACAGCTGCCCACAATGGTCCTCAAGATCATACTGCTACTTTTGCCCTTCACCTGGATTTGCCACAAGTTTACCATCTTCTCCACATAGTCCACAACTAACAAACATGTCTCACTCAAACTCTGACCCCTGCCTGACAAAGTCACTGATTTGCACTGTTTGAAATCAGATCAAGCTACACGTTTCAAGCTGTGAGTTATAGCGTTTTATTTTGTCTTTATGGGGCATTGCATGGGTGCAGCTACAGTGGTGGCTGGCATGAGGGCAATCTCCAGTGTAGACAAGGCTTTTAAAAAATATTTATATTGGAAGGTAGCCCATGATAGCCTTGTTCTTAAAGACAAAGAAAATGACATACGTTCTGAGATTGGTTGACTTAGAGAGTAGGAGTAGGGAATGTTTAGTTTAAGGAAGGAGAGAATTTCTGACAGTGGAATGTGTTGCCAAATTTCAAGTTTTGTCAGCTCCTAATTATTTTCCTACTTTTGGCTGAGTAGGCTAGTCATTTATTCTGCTCTGGGCAAGAAGGTAGTTATACTTCAGATGCTCACTTTGCAATTTCAGATTAACTGGAAGAAGAATTTTCAATAAGACTGGTGACATTTGTCTTGCTAATTGTGCTAGAATACCTTCTGCGAAGCCTGGGATTTTGACATTTCTGAAAGTGATTGTTACAAGTCAGCTGCAATATGACTTGAACTCCAGTACTGCTAGCATCAGGCTCTTGCTCTCACTTTTTCTGGGACTCAATTAATAAAGAATTAAAGGAGGATAATATAATTAATGTCAATCAACATGGGTTTATGGAAAATAGAGCCTGTCAAATTAATTTGATATCTTTTTTTGATGAGATTACAAATTTGGCTGATAAAAGTAATAGTATTGATACTTAGACTTCTGTAGGGCATTTTACCTGGTACTGCACGGCATTTTGATTAAAAAGTTAGAATGATATAAAATTAACATGGCACACATTAAATGGATTAAAAGCTGGCTAACTGATAGCTCTCAAAATGTAATTGTAAAGGGTGAATCATCATCAAAAGGGTGTCTTTCTAGTGGGGTCTTGCAGGGATCAGTCCTTGGCCCTATGCTATTTAACATTTTTATAAATTGGAGAGGGTTCAGAGAAGAGCCATGAAAATAACTAAAGGATTAGAAAACATTCCTTACAGTGATAGACTCAGAGAACTCAATCTATTTATCTTAACAAAGAGAAGGTTAAGGGGTGACTTGATGAGAGTTTATAAGTACCTACATAAGGAACAAATATTTAATAATGGACTCTTCAATCTAGCAAAGAAAGGTATAACATGATGCAATGGTTGGAAGTTGAAGCTAGGTAAATTCAGGCTGGAAATAAGGCATACATTTTTAACATGAAGAATAATTAACCATTGGAACAATTTACCGAGAGCCATGGCGGATTCTCCATCACTGACTAATTTTAAATCAATTGGATGTTTTTCTAAAAGATCTGCTCTCGGAATTATTTTGGGAAAGTTCTATGGCTTGTGTTGTACAGAAGTTCAGACTAGATTATCACAATAGTCCCTTCTGGCCTTGCAACCTATGAATGAATCTATGAATTTATTATAACATTTTTGAAAGATTGATGGTAGTGCTGCTTCTCGTTTCTCTTTCAAAATCACTTTGGAAAATCTCTTTCCATTACTAATAAGTCAGCATAATAAATTTAACTTCTGATATATTTTTTTAAAACTGAAGAGATGACATAAACTTCATTTGGTCACCTGTCTTCTAAATCAGAAGGTATTAGGAAGGGCAATCATTTCACTGGTGTTGGCATGAACTAATATTGGCAAATGAATCTTGAGTTGGTGACACTGGCACTAATATGCCATCATCATAGCTTTGAACACTGCTGACATTCCTCTGGACAGTGATTTTTGGGTAGATCCCTGCTGCCATATATGCACAAGTAACATCCCATCATGTAAGTAGTTAAACACATGCTGATTAGTGCTGGCATGGGTAAATGGTATTATTTATGGATAGACACCCAGATTCTTGGTATTATGGCTCATCTTTATCATAAGTACAACATCTCATGCTATTTTTATATGTGAAATTATGGCACTGAAGGTTGGGCACACAGATTTCTTGGCTAGCTACTATGGCTTTGGTTAGGTCTACACTACAGACCTTACAGCAGCACAGCTGTACTGCTACAGCTGCGCCGCTGTAAGATGTCCCATGTAGCTGTCCTAGGCCGACGAGAGAGAGCTTTCCTGTCAGCATAATTAAACCACCCCCAACAAGTGGCTGTATCTATGTCGGTGGGAGAGTGTCTCCCACTGACATAATGCTGTCCACACCGGTGCTTTTGTTGGTAAAACTTATGTTGGTCAAGGGGTTGTTTGTCACACTACTGACCGGCAAAAGTTTTACCAACGAAAGTGCTAGTGTAGACATAGCCTTAGTTTTAAGTTTTCCTTTTTCTAAAAGAGTCTCACATTTGCAAGTATTTATAGTGTTACTGGAGAATGGATGCCTGGATTCTTTCAGTTGATGTTGTGATTTACCCTCAAAAGTTGTTTATATTATTTCTATTTAACTTAAATCAATTAGCTAAAATGTGGTAAAATCTCTGGATCTGAATGAAACTCCAAATCAGATTCCAAATACTCTCTTTATTCTATCTCATTGCATACTGTCCTTTTGGAGGGAAAAAAAATAATTAAATTCTTATCAATAAACTCTTAAAGGAGGGAGGAAAAGTCTAAAATTCTAGTTTGAGTTGATATTTGTTTTTGTTCCCCCTCTATCTGGCCCTGATTCAGCAGCGCATTTAAACATGTGATGAAGGAAGAATTACTCTAAATCAGCAATTTTCAAACTATGGGGCCAGCCCTCCCAAGGGAGGTGTGGGAATGTGTCAAAGGAGGTGCCAGCTCTGTGCTTTGCTGTTAAAGAGCTCTTGCTGTCAGCCCCGGGTAGCTCCATTCCCTAGACCAGGAAGCAGCCTAGGCTCAGGCTTTCATTCTCCCCATGATCCTTCACCTGGAGGTGGTGGGGCTCTGGCTGTCAGCCCTGGGGTATCAGCAGCAGCGCAGAGGTAAGAGTGACAATGGGGCACCCTTACTTCTGTGCTGTTGCTGGCGCAGTGCTGCCTTCAGAGCTGGATGCCTAGCCAGCCAGCAGCCACTGCTCTCTACTCTGCCTTCAGAGCTGGATGCCTAGCCAGCCAGCAGCCACTGCTCTCTACTCTGCCTTCAGAGCTGGGTGGTCGTATATGTAGTTTGGGGGAGAGCATAAACGACTACTATAGACACAAAGAAGTGCCTGATCAAATAAGTTTGAGAACCACTGATCTAAATGATGTAGACAGATTTTTTTTCAGTTGCCATAATTGGGAAAACAGTAATTTATAATTGCTGTAGGTGTTTTCATGGTTCATCCTAATGTTTAAGTAGCATTTCTTATATTACCATAAAGGTCATATATGAAACATTTAATAACTTAGTACTGTTACTCATCATAAAGGTCATGTATGAAACATTAATAATTTATTACTGTTTTTCAAGAACTTTAAATTGTTTATATTAGAATTTCTTTTCTAGCATTGCGTAATTGGATCTAAGGTTATTGATATTGTATTACATATGCTGTTCTTCTTAACTTTACTGCATAGAGTGGTATCTTTGGGTGTCATACTCTACACATTTAATCATCTGGTTAATGTTGAAAATATTTTAAAAGTAAAAGAAATTCCTCCACATGGCTAGCCTTCCAAGGATTTGTTTTTCTTGTTCAAACCATGACATAGAACAGGTGGTGTATAGTGTAGCTCATGGTCTGCTGACCATGATACATGGACAGCAAGTGTAATAATGGTTCTCGTGGCTTTCCTTAAGTAAGATAAACTGAAATAAAAAATATTTCATAGGATGTTAAGAATTTGATTTAAATTTATCAACGCAAGTATATTCAGAGTTGAGGTTGAACCTCCTTAACCCAGCCTATTATACCTAGATATAACAGTGCATAGGGCTCAATCTCTGTATTTGGCATGTTCTGCAGTGCACAGGGCTTAAGGGAACAGGAAGTCACAACTGTGTCTGTAAGCCACCTTTTTGTTGCCCTGACCCGGGACCCATTTCAGCTCCTGGCATGAGTTAGAGCAGCCTCAGCTGCCCCCAGGCAGATTCAAGAATTAAAGAAAGAGAGGGGAAAGACAGAAAGATACAATGCAGTGTGGGAGGATGATGGAGAAAAAAGGAGACAGCTGGTGTGTGTGTGTGTGGGGGGGAAGGAACAGAGTGGATAAACCAGAGAATTAGGGAAAGATAGAATAAAGAGACAAAGCAAGAGTAAAAAGGGAAAGAATGGAGAAGGAATTTCCAAAGTCAGCTGTGGGATCCTCAGTATGAATTCTTAAATACTATAGGTCTGCATTCTTTTCTTTAAAGTAAAATTTCTGCTCAGGATTATAATTTTTCACTCTTAGTTTTTAAATCACTTTCTTAAATTGTCAGAATTGCACCTTAAATTGATTCATTGTTCTCTAGGCTTCCTTGTGCAAAAATGTGTTTTTTCCAGAAGGTCTACATAAACAAGACTCTTGGTTATTATATTTTTTCTTTAGTCTTCTCTGTATCCCTGATTGTATTTGAGGGTCACCTCTTGTTTGCAGCCATCACTTGAGACTGCATGTTGTGACCAGCCACCATAATTGTGCCCATGATGGCAAACTTAATTGGCTCTGAGGATTGTTGTTGAATGAAATTAGGTACTTCTTTCCCAACGGGCTGAACTCATTTCCTTTGCAACATTACCGGATGGAGATATTGGAAATTTAACACTGATCTTTCACATGCTGGTCTGGGTTCATCAATACCAAGGTGATAGGTGTCTTATTAATACGTTAGCTAGATAGACAAGGCACTATAGAACACTACCAGCTGAACTGAAACTTGAATGCAAAATTTTAGTGCAAAGCAAGTTTTTATATTCAAGTGATAAATCTCTCATAATATGAATTAAAAATTGAAACAGTGTCAGTCTCTTAACAACAGAAACACTAGTGAATGCCTCTGTTTGTGCTTACCAGTGTTGAAGGATTACATGTACAAGTGTACAAGATTCAAGAATTGCAACTAAAGTTCCAGTTATTGATTTTATGGATGGTAATCTTTGAGATCTAAAGTCTCCAAGATCTTCAAGGTCTAAAGTTAGTTGGTAAATCACACACTATTGCAAAGTTTTTGTATATCCAAAAACAGTATTTAATTTTTAGGATTGTACATTCATATATTCAAAGGTCCAGGATAGTGGCTATATACCTAAACATTTTATCACTTCTGCAAATGATAATAGTATGTGCTGGCAGTATAATAATGCTATAGTTAAAGGTATTAAAATATCACTAACATTTGTATGTTCTATGAGATAAAAGATAAGAGATCAAATGTTTCTAATCTTACTCAGGGATTACTTGACTCAAGAGTCTCATTGACACTGGTACTCTGCAGTGGATATTACTGGAGTGGAAAGTATTACATTAATGACTTCAAATGGGAATTTTTCATTAATAAGAAATGCAAGAGTTGTACTAAAATGTCTTTATTTTTCAGGCATTGATAATAGCTATTTATCTATTTGTTCTCAGTAGAGAACAGGTTCTAAATTCCTCTAGGACTCTGAGATTACTCCAATTTCTACTTCTTCTTTCTCCCCTGTTTCTTGCAAAGGCCCTACATGAAGGCGATCTTCCCTCTAGTGAAAGTTGGTTATAGCTCCCTCCAAAGTTTATGCGGATGGTGGAGGAGAAATGTATATCACTTTTTAGCACTCCTACCACCTGTTGACTTATGAATAAAGTATGGTGGGCAGCACCTAAACTTGGATCCCCTCATTTTAATGTAATACATAAAGATTTTCTCCTACTTCTTTTGAAGTCAATAGGAATTTTGCCATTGCCTTAGCTGAAAATTGGACTGAGATCTAATTTATTTATAATAAAATGTGGTGTAAAACAACTATATTAAAGTAATTACAAACCAAAGAAAGTTTCACAGGCACCAGTAGTTGATATTTTCACATTTGGTCACCAAACCTGGTCTTTAATTCTGGTAAATATATAAAAAAATTTACTAATAAAATATTGTGTTGATTTATATTATGTTAAACATTATTAAAATAAAATGTATGTCATAATACACATTTATGCTCTTTTACATTAATTTGTTTGCATTAGAATTTCACTGATTTATTTTGCATTCTTTAGATATTTAAATAAGTGTATGTTATAATCTTAGTCTTACAATAAAAGAACCAAAAATGGAACCAAAAAAGGTATTACTTCATTGGGGTGAACAAAATCTTCAATACACATTGAAAATATAAACAAAATATTTAATATGCATTCTTGCATATTCTTTAGTATGCATTCTTCAGTAAAGATTGGTAAAAAAAAATGATACTGTAACATTAACTGTATAGCTTTTTTGTATTTTTACAGATTTCAAAATACACTTTACAGAAGAAATTGAATGAAATGGTAAGAAACTGAAAAAGCTGTAGGTGACTATAGAAGAAAGAGGCCAAGAATTTGTACAGTGATAAATTGATGACAGATAGGGAGGGTTGTAATGAAAATACTGACAGAATTTTAGAAATAAGCTATGAAAAGTAACTATTTGTTAGGACCTAACTAAAAGAAAGAGGTCACATCATCTTGTTATACGTAAAATACTTCAAATTTTTTCCTCTTCTTCTTACTATATTCTGACAATTGCAAAATTGTTTATAAAAACCTTTAATTTAATATTGGGAATAATTTTTTCTAAAATTGAAATATTCCTTAGTTTGTAGAGGATATGTGGTTTGTTAACTTTTGCTTATTAGAGCCAGGGAAGATTCCTTTTACAGAACATAAAAAGAATAACGATATTACATTATCCTTAAAATTATGAGGCATGGCCTGGAGTTGGTTGCATTAGGATGGGATAGTCAGGGACAATGATATGTCTAAAAGTTAATATGTTAGCAAAAAGGATATGACATTTGCGGGGGTTTTAGAGTTATTTTTTAATATTAATTAGATTTGATCCAAGGAGACAAAAATTAGAGGAGAGGCAACTTACTCCCTTTGACATTGAATATAAATTCATATAGAGTGACAGTTTAGTCACTCTGACTCCTGTTGTGTGTTTTAGGAAGTGAAAGAGCGAGCTGCAGAAACATTGCTAAGCTTGATTGAATAGAAGCTGTGAAAATTCTGTTGCTGCTCAACTGGAAAGAATAAAGATAATATTGTCAGACCATTATAAACTGTGATTTTAATTAAGAAGCTCAAAAACTAGAGTCCAGTTTAGCTTTAAGTACCATGACATTTGTACTGAAAGTCATCTTCAACGCTACAGTGGTTTTACACAAAATGTGATGAAATTGAATAATGTGTCCTTTGACCTGGGAGATAAGGCTACAAGTTAAAGATCAAAGGCAACATAAAGTGTGTTTTGTCTTATTTCACTTTTAACTTGCATTTGTTGTTAAACAAGTATTTGTTATCTGAAAAATGTTAAAATATACAACATTACTGAATTTATATTTATATCCCTTCAAGTACTGTCTTTTACTGAGCTCCCATGTTCCATCTTCCACATGAAAGGGAATAATATTTAAATTACAACACTTTTTGTATGCAAACTAGAGGTGTATATACGCCTGTTAATGAAATGTTGCTTATTTATATATCCATGTATTTTATTTTGTGTGTGCGTGTGTGTATATATATATTTAAAACTCATAATCATTAAATAATTGTCTTCAGATGCCTTGGAAACACTCAAACACTACAGTGCTGATACACTGTAAGAACCTAGATGAATAAATAGGTACTCTTAATAATTTCCTAGAAATATGTGGGAAAACATGTTAGAAACCCCTTTTTTGGACATGTTCCTACTTTCTGTAATTCATATTCTCTTAGCTCTATTCATAATAGGTGCTCAGAATCTATGTTGATAGGGATCAGATAAGGAGGGAGATAGAAGTTCCATTATCTTATCTAGCTGTGTAGCAATGCAATAATGCATTTTAGATTGGGTCAAGTTCTGACAGCTTTACTCCCTGAGTAGTCCTGTTGAAATCAAAGAGATTCTGAGAGAATAAAGATGATAGATTTGTAGCCATTGTGAGTGATAGTGGCCAGTCTAGGGACTTTGAGATTGTGACGTAGAAAATAGATAAACAAAAAAATTCCAAGGCATTAGTTATTTGATGCTAATTTATATGCCAGGTTATTTCGTTCTCTATATTTCTGTTAAAGAAGGGTCAAATTCTGCCCTGGCTAGTGCATTGAAAATTAGCAGAAACAATGCCTAATTCATATTCTGTACCTTAGAAAACCTGCCAGCCAGGATAGCAACATTTGCTTCTGCTGGGGACTGGATGTGCCGTCTTGGGCTTGTGCACTCTTTTAACCTGTAAAACAGCAATCTTCACACATTCTGTCCACACCATACATAATCACGTTGTGCAATCAAGTTTTCTGTGGGAATCAAGGTTGCTGTGGGTTGTTATCCATTTATGAGACTGTCATATAAATTACGTTAGAATTTTTAACCAACCGGGCAAAATTTTTGGTTTTGTATTTGAAAAAGATTTTAGAAAAACAAATATTAATAGAAAATTTTAATGTCATCCTTTTTCATTCCCTCCTGTTTCAATGAAAACAAAGGCCCCGATTTCCCAGTGTAGTATCCTAGTTTTTATACCTGTGGATTCTAGTCCGTGGGAGGATCAAGACAGTATAAGGGATGATAGTGTAGGCTTGGTGAAAGTGGCTTCTGTGCCATGCCTTCTCCCTGTAGCTGACATAGATCCAAGAGGGCATGATTGAGGAAAGAGGTCATGGCCACGTCTTCCCCTTAACCCTGCTGATCCTTAGCAGCCATTATCAGTCCCTTGGCAGTTAATGTAACTTAGAGTGTTCTGATGCTGGATTGGCACAGAATAGACTCAGGGTGAGCTTTTTATCATCTTTTTGACTCCTCCCCAGCCTGCACTGTGTTATCCTCAAATATAGCTGAGGATCGGGCTAAAGTTTTTAGGTTTTTCCCCCTCTCAAACTTTTCCCAATAGTATCTGAAACGTTATTCTATGCATGAGAACCAAGGAGCAATATTATATGAAAAGTAATCAGTCTAGTTTCACTCTCTCTAAGTTGAGCATTATGAAAACAGTAAACACTCTAATTTGCGAAAAATAAATTATATTTCATAAACTGTTTTATTCTTAATAATCTAAAATATTAGGGACACATAAGGAATTTTTATATGAACATGATTTTTATCTTGGCAGTCTCAACATTTTTAGTAATTCATCCACAACTGTTCGTGGCTGAAAAACAATAAAACTTGTTCTGGACTGCATTAATTTTTTTTTTAAAGATTGACTTTAGGGGGGAAAAAATTTGTGTGCCATTTTCCTGCTTTGATTTACAGATTTTGATAGCTCTCTGTGAATAATTTCCACATCATCGTGCCTCAAGTCTCCTGCAGTAATAACTTCTCTGTCTCCCTGGTACTCTCAATTCCCAATTACCACCTTCAGCCTCACTGCATATATCTGACTACTAGTGTCTCCAGTCCCAGCATATCCCTCAGATGTGACCAGTTCATCTTGTGTCTTCCCTGCAGCAAGGTACCTGGCCCTGAGCCATTTCTCTGGACTAATTCCACCAAGAAAATCACTCTGTTTCAGCAAACAACATGGCCACAACCAATTCCACTCCCCATCCCAGATTGTCTTTATTTCAGGTGAAGGGCACTGTAGTCATCTTTCCACATGGAGTGTCAGACTGAAGAAGTAAGATTCCATGGCTTCCCACTCTAATAGGAACAGACTTCTGTGAAAGCTCCAGGATCAGACCCTCTCTCTCCTATAGACTCCTTCCAGATTTCCTCTATTTTGTTCCCAACAATTATTTTAGGGGAGGGATGTTAGGGCCTGAGTGGAAGACTGTTTTACATCCCTGCCGGGAAGGATGTTAAGGAAGTGGCAAACCAGTCTGCTTACCTTTACTGGGAATGAAGCCAGGAGTGTGGCTTTTCCACCAGAACTCATGTTTGGGCTAGACTTTGAGGGACAGCAGGCCAGTCTCTTTCTCCCTTGGCAAGAACATGGGGAAATAGCAAAATAGCACGTTCTTCCTAGCCGAACATCTGTTCAGAATATGTGAAGGCAATGACATTCCATTTCCCCACTGAGAAAGATATAGGGGGACTGGCATGTTGACCTATCATGAGGAAAGAAGGTGACAAAACAGTAAGATAAAATATTGCCAAGTTAAAAAACAAAATTCAAAAAATTTGCAGATCTTGGGGGGAAAAAAACAGAAGATTGGGAGAAATTTCCTTCAGATTTTGCCATAATTCTTCAAAGTATGATATTGTCAAAGCTTGGGATTCTTAATACACACACGGTTTTGTAACATTTTAAATATGATGTATGTATTGTAATGCATTTTTACTAAAGTAAGCCGGGGGTTAAAAATAGTTCCTGCACTATAGGGTCAATTTGCCCTACATTGTATCTCATTTAATATGAAAATTAATCAAATCTTTAAGAGTAATGGAAATTACCTGCATCGGGAGGAGAACATACCAATGTATACATTTATATATAGGTCTATTTAAGGTTTTGACACACACAGAGATTACAGAAAAGAAATTCAATTTAAATTGACATGGCTCTTAGCTTATCATGCTGTGCCTGGCTACTTCAGAGCACAAGACCTAGAGGCAAGACGAAAAGATAAGCATGGGTTACTTAATGCCAGGCCACAAATAAAGAAACAAAGACCAGGAAATTATCTGGTGGTTATACAGGTCATGGGTTTATTGAATAAGTAACTGAATCAAATGAACCAAACCTAAACCTTGACAGGAAATCCCTCATGGGTGTGGGTAACTCCACCGTTAACTGAAATTTCTGAGCTGTCTGATGCCATGGAAAGACACTATGGGTGTTCCTGAACTGGCCACAAGTGGTTCCATCCCTGGGACTGATTTGCCATGTTCCAGTTATGGCCCAATATAGTGTGTCTGGCATTGAAGCGTTACTCTGTGGTATACTTCTTTCAAGCCACCTTGGTGTAGCTGAGGTGGCATATCACCTAAAGCATGATAGAGGGAAATAGTTGGATTATCAGCAATGATTGCCTACCTTAGAGGCTTCTAGGCTCCTTCTACCATCATCTGTCTGGAGCAGAAGAAAAATTTGCACTTCATGTGAGAGTAATAGAATAAACATGTCTGAACCACTGTCAGAAGAAAAAGTAATAATCAAGTGTCGTCATTAACTTTCTTTTCTTATTTTTGTTGGTTTCATTCACATCCCTAGCATTACCTAAATGCAGTTATTTGGATGGTTTTTCTGTGCTGATATAAGTAAAGGATTGGAAAAGAGAGAAGAATTATATGAAAATTCATAGGTTGAATAGCTGGAAGTGATTTTATAAGTGGTTGCTGTTTCTTTATCTGTGCTTCCATTACAACTTTCAATTTGCTGTATTGAGTTTAATTTTATTGTCTTATACAACATGAAAAATTTGTATTATATATATCTTATTTTGCTAGTCTTATGCTGGCCATTTCTTTTGATTACCATCAAATTTCATCATCTTCTGATGCTTGGACATATATTGAATTTGTTAGCCTGCAGGAAGGGAACACCACAGAAATCAAGCATGTTGGGCAAAATTCATCCCTATGTAGCTCCACTGAAGTTACATACAGGAATGAATTTGGCCCAACCTGTTTGATTTCTGTGTTATTCCCTAGTAGCTTAACAAATGCAATGTATGTCCAAGTAAATTAATGGAGTTACACAGGGATGAATTTGCCTCTGTATTTTTAAAGGAAATTAAGAGGAAAATTGAGCACATTTAATAGTTTAAAAAAAAAACTAACAAAAAACAACAACAAAACAAACAAAAATAAAACCCACAACAAACCAAACCAGAACAAACCAGAAGAAAGACTAAAATCTGAAGTAAAGAAAGGGATAATAAGTAGTTTTACATCTGCATTACAATAAATGAGTGATGTGTCACCTAGAATACTGTTCATTTCTGGCCACCATATCACAGAAAAAATTATGTTTTCAGTATTGTTGTAGGTGTGTTGGTTCCAGGATATTAGAAAGGCAAGGTGGGTGAGGTAATATCTTTTATTGGACCAATTTCTGTTGGTAAAAGAGTAAAGCTTTTGAGCTACTCAGAGCTCTTCAGGTCTAGCAAAGGTACTCAGTGTCACAGCTAACTACAAGGTGGAACAGATTGTTTAGCTTAAGTAGTTAACACGTATTATAAGAGTCCATTCAAGGTGAAGTGGGCTGTTAACACCTCTGCAGTCATAGGTCTAAAAAAGAGGGGGCCAGTGGGTTACAGATGTTGTAAAAAGCCATAAATACAGTTTCTTTACACCATGATTTTTAGCAGCTAGCAAAGTTGTGAAGCTTACATTCAGTGTGTTAACTATTTATGCAAACAGTCTTTTCCACCTTGTATTTATCTGTGAAATGCTGAGTACTTTTCCCAGACGTGAAGAAGAGCTCTGTATAGCTCGAAAGCTTGTCTTGTTCACAAACAGAAGTTGGTTCAATAAAAGGGATATAATCCCTCATCTTTCAGGGCATAAAACAACCATTGATTGGCAGTGGTTAGGAAGAAACTTCCCCTATGAATGACTTATTCCATAATTGTCCATGAATCTGATACTGATTTGCATTTGTGTTCCAATATTTTTAACCTGTTTGAGCCTAACTTTTGTTTTTGAGAGGTGACTTACATTTTAGATGCTTCCTTTAGAATACAGAAACTTTTAAAATCCCTAGCTACTGTTTAGTAGTAAATGGTGAGCTTTTGTTTTTAGCAAATAATACATTGAAATTATTTTATTTAGATAATTAAAATATACTATTCTTCTTTAAATCTCTTTGCAGTTCCATTTGATTCAGAATATTGTTGGTTGAGTATGATGCTTTGATTTATCTGTCTGATAATAGTTGAAAGTTTGGCCAGCACATTTATAATTGCTAGAATTGCTCATTAAACTGATACTTGATTCCTGTTTCCAACAGGATCAAAAACTACAATTGCACATAATGGCAAAGGAGGAACATCATAAGAAACTGAATGAAGTTGAGAAATGCTATGCTACTATCACATGTCAATTTGGAATGATAAAAGGGGCTCATGAGAAATTAGAGCAGAATGGTAAATCTTTCTTAAATGTAGTCCTACAGTAGTTATTTTTGTAGTGTTTTTTCCTTCTTCAATGAGTGTTTTAACATTTTAGAGGTTAATCCTGTCTTCTCCATGGCATTAGAGGACCATGCCTAGGTGGAACTGATGAGTTTCTGTGATGGACAGGAGGGAGAAGAATTTCTGAACCCTGTACCTAGGTCCAGTGCCTCTAGTTATCTGTTTCATGGGTGCTTCCTGTATCCCAGTGAGCAAAGATCATAGACGTCAGTCCTACAAAGAGCTTAAAGGTATCTTGCAGAGTGCTGAGTGCCCTTACCTGTGATTGACATCACTGAGGGTGAAATCCGGGCTCCACTGGAATCAGTGAGGGTTTTGCCTTTGACTTCAGTGGGGTCAAGATTTCACCCTGAGAGTTGAAGCCATTCAGCACCTTTCAGGAAACCTCATCAGGACCTCGCAGAATCTAGCCCTCAGAATAATTGGGAAGCCAGACTACTTTTTTCCCTCCTTGAGGGGATGAGGAGTTTGCTGCCACCTTCCAGCCATCGACAATCTCAATTGACAGTCTCCAACTCTGATTCATGTTTTAAATTAAATACATTGTCAATTGTACAGAAATAGAAAATAATAAAACAGGAAAAATAAATAGAACTAGATGAACAACATCATCTAGCACTCTCTTTTTTTAAATACTGCATAAATAGATACTCAAGTATAACAAGTCTGTACCAAACACTCATTCCCATATCTGTGCTTAAATTCTACAAAACTATTTGTGAATCTGTTGGTATATGACAAAATTGCACCAAGTATTTATGTGTGCTTACTGATGCATAAGTTTTGCACCAAATATGTTTTTCTTCCATAAAATAATACCAAAATTAAAACCTATAGCTCAAATATTTAAAAGTTTGTGCAATTTTGCACCCACAGATCTTCTGTAGAAAAAAAAAACCCTGTTATATGCATATAAGTCATGAATTTATATGTGACCACACCATTTCATGGACACAACCCTGACTTGCATGTATATATTTAGTGTTTTGTACATCCTTTTTGGCTGCATGCAACCATGTGCACAGATCTTTGAACATTCAGTCTGTATATGTATATGTAAATATACATATGGAATATAAATAAATATTAGTTGTAAAAAAGAAAGGAAAAAATCCAAGCATTATATGTCAAAAAAGGCTTGTCTAAGTGAGGTTAAATAATTTTTCAAAACCTTAAACTAACTAGCTTTTTATATTTAGATAAGAATAAATTGGTGGCCTGTTCTGTGAATATTCTTGGCATTTTAGTGGCTGGAGTTATTCCTCATGCTCACGTCTTCTGAAATACAGTTGTGCTTAATATATAAAACAAAAGAAAATATTGCTGTTCTTTCTTTTTATTTATCATGGAAAAGTCCTGTTTACTCTTTGTCCTATGCAGAAAATGTTTTTTTGTGATTTTTATGGAAAAATAAGATTAGCTTTCTGTATTTACATAATTTGGAATATGTATAAATATATTTTATTATGCAAAGTATTTGCAAAGTAAACCGCTGGAAAAGATTAAATATAACAGCAATATAAGTGCTTCTGTTCAACAAGAACATGAGCTATTCACCATAGTAACTACAGTGTATCTCTTACTGAAGACAAATTAATTTTATACTGTGGTATGTAACAGCCATATTAAGCATGTAGATCACTTGTAAATTCTGAATATGAATCTACAGTGAATGGAAAAGTCACAGGAATCAATATATTAAATAAACCTCTAATTTCTAACCTACTGTTTTCCTGGGATTAAAAATTGTGTTTATGAAAACAATTTGTAGACTTTGAAAATGTTGAAGTTAAAAATTGGTGCTTCATGTAGTTGTATAGTAGAGATGCCCCTCTTTCTAATGGGATCCAGCACTTTTAACTCTGGCTTTATTTATTGTTATTTGTTTCAATCTACCAGGCTTTAAAACCATGAAGGTGAAATCCTGGCTCCACTGAAGTCAGTGGGAGTTTTGTCATAGACTTCAGTTGGACAGAATTTCACCTATGATATTTTATGTATTGGAAAGTTGTCTTGGGACATTTTAAGAAGTGTGTTACATTTTGTAATGCACATATTTAATTTGAAAATCTCTCTCATAATACGATTACTGAGGCTATTATAAGCCTGATCACATTATAAACCCAACTTTCAAATATTCCACCTGAAATTGACAAGCTGTAAATGCCTGAGCAGGGGGGGTGGGGGATTGAAAAGGAGTAGGCACTGGATGGCGTAGACCTGTGCTACCCAATTTTGGAATGGGAGGTTTTGAAGAGGTAAAAAGAGGGCGCACGAAAGGAAGAGCATGGAATAAGGGATGAAGAGAAAGTACAGGAGATCAAGGTGAATGGATAGGGATAGAGGAGACTGAGAAATACAGAGACTGGGGAACATGTACAGTTTTCTAGATGTAGTATTTTAAACACTTTTAGAGTGAAATTCTGGCTCCATTGAAATCAATGGCAAAACTTTCATTGACCTCAATAGGGCCAGGATTTCACTCAAAGTTTTCAATGTAGATAAAAGTAGATTTTATGTCTCCTCTATTGCCTTACTACTGAACATTACCTCCATATTCCATCTAGGTATAATTGCCCCTACAGATCCTATGGATTTGCTAAACTCTGTGGAAGGGAAGCCGCATTTTGATGGGTCTCATAAATTATGTAGAGCCTGCTTCCTCACCTTATAGATAATCTGATTTAAACTTTTGATGATAATAAAAAGTAACAGAAAAGCACAAACATCATCATTGGTTAAAATGTTAAGGTTGAAAATTAATTAAAATCCAGCTAATACCCACAATTATATTACACTTTTCTTACAAAAATTCTACCCCTCTGTAAAAACCTAAAGGTTTGAGCTGTACCAGGATAATATAAATCAGCCTAATCCTAACTGAGTATTTTAGGCATTACTACAGTGAAACTAAATAATTGAGACACTTGCAACCTTCTCTTTTTTTCACAGAGTTTGTTAATGAAGTTATGTATATATTACAGTGTATGTAACCACATGAAATTTTAATTTAAAGGCATGTTTTGAGGATGTTTTTGATTTCTTTTTCATTAAAGTGCTGGAAGCACTACAACTTAATAAGAAACTGGCATCAGTGAATAAAAGACAAGAGTCTGAAATAGATAATCTAAAGGAGGTAAGTTCAGTATGTATTTTCCATATGTTTAGTTGGGTTTCTTTGAGGACCTTCAGTAGAAGTAGTAAGAATAATAACATACAAATTGTAGCGCTATTCTTCATAATGGCTAAGTGGCTAGGATTGGCTCTCAGGATACCTGGGTTCAGTTCCTGGCTCTGTCACTACTTTGCTGGGTCACCTTGTGTGGTCACATCCCTCTCTGTGTCTCAGTTCCCCATCTGTAAAAAGGTTGAGAACCCCTGGCATATGGGGAATGGGCAAAAGAGCACCTATGCCTATAAAAGAAGTCTGGTAGCCTGGGAGAAAAAAAAAAACATTGCAGCATCACTAAAATAAATGGAGAGCTTTGGGACACGTGTAACCATGGTGAATGGGGGGCACAAGACGTGTGGACAGTGAGGCTACCCCGCCACTGAGCTCCCTCCTGTCCCTCACACATGCAGAACTATAGTAGTTGCCAGACATCTCTTTGGATTTTCCCTTTCTCCTAAGCAGGTGAGTGAGGCAAGCTAAAAGGATCAATGTGTGTGTCAGGAGGGGCAGTTCTCTCTTCGCTTCTAGCAGCCAATTAAAGGGAGACAGGAGAAAAGCAAAGGCAACCCCTGCAATGGTCATCTAATTTCATCTCTGTCCATAATGCCACCTTATTCTTGCTTCCTCCTCCCCACTTCCTTTTATTTGAAGGGAGATCCAACAATGTTTTCCGCTTGATCATCAGGCTCCCAGAAAGCTTGGAAGAGAACCAGTTCACTGCTCCACTCCCAATCTCCTTTGGGTTTCTGTTGCACTGATATCTTCAGACAGATGACTTTGTGGTCCTGCTCCTGCTGTTGCTACATGAAACTACCTGTTCAGGAGTCTTGAGACTACAACTTGCAATAGGGAAAATTAGTTGTTTAGGAGAGGGATTCAGTTACCATTTAAGTTTGTTTTAAGCTGATCAAAATTGGACATTTACTCACTGTGACTCTTGCATTTCTGAAAAGTGAGGTTGATGAGTACAGCAATGCTTTAAAATTCTACCTGCACCTAGTATTGTTTTTCAGTTTTTAATAGAATACACAGCTTCTCATTGTTGAGGTTCATTGGGGTATGATGCCTTTCAAAATCTGGTCCAGAAATCAATTATACCCTGAGATAGACAGTTTAATTAATTAAGACCCTTTTTCATCTGTTTCTTTCAATCTCAAGCTTGTTGCCTATTGCAGACATTTATTTTGTGCTCACAGTTTTAATAACAGCAAAGATAAATCACTAATTAAATCTAATTTATTTTTAGTTGCATACTAGAGTATAAGGCACACCTTGAGTATTCAAAAATACCAAGTTCCAAAATGACTGTTTGATCGAAAAGGTCAGAGCTATGTCTATTGTTAAAATCATACTTAGAAACTTAATGATAAAGCACAACGTTGTGAAATTACTCAAAAGGGTGTGCAAATTATGAAGCGGTTTTATAGCTTTTAGAAAAGGCTTTAGTCCAAATCCGTTATTCAAATGATAATAGCATTATACCAAAAATCCACTCCCCAAAAGTAAATGGTTTTGAAAAACAAAACTAAAATGGGGGATTTGTTTTAAAATGGTTAATCTCAACAGTGTGTTCCTCTTCAGAACAAATATAACTATGTGGTGCATTTTGACCACAGAAGTCTTAATCTTTGAGAAATGAATTTTAGTCTACGTAGAATGGTTCACATTCTCAGGCAGGATCAAAAATTGTATGGAGTCCACGAAAACTGGCTTTTGCATAGCTGAGAGGCATACACTGGAACTGGGGTCTGATCCTGCACTACGTCCAGATTAAGGCTTCATGATAAACCTTAAAATTCCAGAAATGTGTGAACGTAATAGTAAATTGGATTAGTTATTTTGGTTAAAGGAAAAACCCAGAACAATTTTATGAAATAATTATTAGGACTTTTTAATATGTGAGGGCAAGAAAATTGTACACTGCATCCAGCAACACAATCTTTCACTAAGATTTTTTTCCTCCAGGATTTATTCTTGAGCTTTAGGGGTATAAATTAAAAGAAAATGTTTTTATATAAGCAAAAAAAAAAAAAAGTCTCCTTTCCTCCTTTGACTACCATGACATGCTTTTATAAAGTGTCTTGGTTTTCTTGTAAACGTCTAATTGGACCTTCACTCTTCAAATGCTTCCTCCACATTTAACACTGGTGAGAGAACTACACTGCAAGTTAACCCTCTGCCTGTTGTTGTTCAAGCAGGAGCCTCATCACCTTCTTGCATATAGTGATGGAAGTGCCATATGCCACAATACAGGCAGGATGTTTACCCATTTTTTAAACAGTTTTACAAGTAGAAAACATCATATAAAATAATTGAGAGTAAGCTGAGTTCCTAAACAAAAAGGATTTGGAAAATTCACAGTAGTCATAGAATGTGGTGTGTCAAAGCTGTGTATATAAGAAATTGCTGTTCTGAGAAAAATATACTGAAATTCATGCCTGAGTTATTTTGTTACTTTTTAAAAAACCTCCCTGATCCCAAAAAACTCAGTAAGTTATTCGGTGTTTGCTGCTTTTTATCCAAACCTTTAAGAGGCTGTTTTCTTGATAATTTGTTATGTTTCTAGACAATTTTGGAGAATTCATCACAATTTCTAATTTTGACATTTCATCAAAATGTTGAAATTCAGTAAAAAAAAGAATTTTCAATAAAAAATGAGCAAAAATTATATCCAAAATTTGATCGGCTCTGCCATTTAGCAGCTTGATTGCTTGTCCACCATTTCTGGTGAGCAAGCAAGTTATACAGTGGTTTACACTGCATTGCTGCTTTACAACTGTGTGGGAGGCTTCTCAGTTCTGACTACAGACTGGAAATATGGGTCATGTGAAAAGGGAGAGGTGTCAGGACTAAATCATAAATGTTCTGGGCCTGATTCATTTTGCTCATGGTCAGTTCGTGCCAGCCTAGCCAGTGCAAAGTGACCACAAAGTGAACCCCTTTGTAGAATAGCTCCACTGTAGTGTAGGGTGCATCTGCAGAAAACACAAAGCAGACGGGAACCCCCATCACAGTAAAGCATATTTGGAACAAGCTGGGATCAAGAAGGGGTGTATCCTGCACCCTGGCTATTACCAATAGCTACAAGGCCCAAAAGGGTTCTTACATCCAGGGTACAACTCACATGGCTGACCTAACTAGCATTGGGCTGATCTTGCCTGTGACGGCTCCAGGATCTGAGGGATACAAGTTGTCCATCCCCCTTAGTCCCTGAACCAGCCTCAGTGCTGGAGCAGGAATAAATTTACTACTCTATGTGCTCTACTCTCAGTGGGCTGTCAGCCATTTTCAAAGCCATTAGGAAGTTTAGCCCCAGATCAGGAGTAATTGCTCTCATAGAGTTGCTACTGATAGGAGTCTGAAGCTGGAGAATATAATTTAACTTGTACTCGTAGCCGTAAAAGTAAGTTACACCTCCAAGATTAAGAGAATGGCACATACAGATCCAGGACATTAGATTGGAGCTGTCCAATATGCAACTGTGGTGGCTCCTAAGTTAGATTGGCGCAAGTGTATGTGCCCCAAGCAAAGTGTATCTAATTGGTTTTTAGACAGACTATGTATGTTTGTTTGATTACCAAAATTTTTAGAACTGGCCTTGGGACATTGTGATTCTCTTAAAATGACTCATTCTATTACTTGTGGGAGGATATAGTCTTCTCCTGACCTGAACTCCTTTCAATTGCAGCCTTGTCTTAACAGGACTGTGGCATAGGTTTCATTCTCAATATTTTGTATTTTAGGATATTTGGTTTTAGCTATTACATTTGGCAGGTTTCATTTCAAGTATTTGGTAATGATTATTTATGAAATGCTTAAATTGAAACTTGGCAAAGATAACAGTTGAAAGAAACAAACCCTTAAAAATTATACTGAACAAAGCTTGAGGAATTCACCACAGAAGATAGTGGAGAGAGGACAACACAAAAGATTGGAGACAGGGCCACCAGCCAGTTCAAAGGGTCCAGTATCTCAGCTGCATCTCTTAGCTTTCCCATGCAGCAATAGAATGAAACTGACATAATTCATTGTCAGGTTCACTTTGGTTACAGGGTTCTGAATAGCAGTTCTGAAACCAACCAGTGTCTTGTTATGGTAGAAACCTCTAAGAAAGTTAAAAGAAAAAGCTGAAACACTAGAGCTCAGATACAGTAGACTTAGGAATCATAGAAATGTAGGGCTGGAAGAGACTTTGAGATGTCAGTCCAGCCTCCTGCACTGAAGCAGGACCAAATAAACTGAGACCATTCCTGACAGGTGTTTGTTTAGCCTGTGCTTAAAAATCTCCATTCATGAGGATTCCACAACCTCCTTTGGAAGCCTTACTTAACTACCCTTATAGTTAGAAAATTTTTCCTAATATTTAACCTAAATCTTCCTTGCTGCAGATTAAGCCAATTACTTCTTGTCCTACTTTAGTAGACATGAAAAACAATTGATCATTGTCCTCTTTATAATAGTCGTTAATATATTCGAAGACTGTCCTCAGGTTCTCCCTCAGTCTTCTTTTCTCAAGGCTAAACATACCAAGTTTTTTTTAACCTTTGTTCATACTGAGGGTTTTATTTAAACTTATCATTTTTGTTTGCTCTTTTCTGGACTGTCTTCAATTTATTTACATCTTTTCCTTAAAGTGCAGCACCCAGATTTGGACATAGTTCTCCAGCTGATGGCTCAGCAGTACTGAGTAGAGAAGGACACTTGCCACCCATGTCTAACATACGACATTCCTAGTAATACACCCCAGAATATTAGCCTTTTTCACAACTGCTTCACACTGCTGATTCACATTCAATTGTGATCCATTATAACACCCAGATCTACTACCACCTAGCCAGTTATTTCCCATTTTGTAGTTGGGTGTTTGATTTTTCCTTCCTAAGTGGTAGTACTTTGCACTAGTCTTTATTGAATTTCATCTTGTTGATTTCAGACCAATTCTCCAATTTGTCAAGGTTGTTTTGAATGCTAATCCTGTTCCCCAAAGTGCTTGTAACCTCTCCCAGCTTGGTGTCATCTGCACATTTTATAAGCATACTCTGCACTCCATTATCCAAGTCATTAATGAAAATATTGAATAGACCTGGACCCAGGATGGACTCCTGCAGGATCCCACTAGATACACCATCCCAATTTGACAATAAACCTTTGATAACTACTCTTTAAGTATGGTCTTTCAACCAGTTGTGTACTGTGTGAAAAGCCTTAATAAAATCAAGATATATCACATCTACTGCTTCTCCTCATCTACTAGGCCAGGAAGCCTATCCAAAAAGAAAATTGGGTTGGTTTGGTCTGATTTATTCTTGATAAACCCATGCTGGTTATTTCTTACAACCTGTAATTCTCTGGTGCTTACAACTGATTGTTTGGATGAAAACACTGCATCTGTTTACATTTGGTTCATATTTGGAACATTACCTTTGAAGCCATAAAGGCTAGAAACGTAATTATTTTTATTTCAAAACTTAAAATTCTTCATAAAGTGATGGCCTAGGCCCCTGCACTCACCACAGAAAGTTCTCTACTTGCCATTGGTGAGTGGGTTTGTCTCTAGATCTGACTATTAGTATTTTCTCTATCTACATGGTCAGATATACCAGATTTGCGGTATTGGTACAAAAGAAAATAAATATATATATTCCTCAGTTAGACCTCCCACTCCTCTACCTAACCTCCATGGCCACAATATAAATGTGCATAATAGATTTCTTTTTTGTTTTTACAGTGCAAGATATGAAGTAAGGACCAAACTGACTACTTTGTAGGATTCTTTTTGTGCATGGCAGTAAATCCTGAGTTTTAGAAAGCATGCAGTATCAGAGCCATAGACAGTATTTGCACTTGCTTATCCATTGGGCTTTATAGTACACAGAATCTAATAACTGTCTCCTATACAGATAGTGCATCCAAAAAATTGACATAGTACTCACTTCCTCAAAGTCAAACCTCTCACACCCTCTTACATTTAATTTTGAAAATATGTTTTGTTACTTGTTGTATAGACCCTTTCAGTAAAAACTAACATAATGAGTATTATCTAATTTTTGTATGAAAAAACTGAAAATTTCCTAATCGGATTTTCAGATTATAAAATATCACATTTCTAAAGTAATACTATTCTCTTTCCTGTCTTCAAATTAAACAAACAATTATACTTTGTTTATGTAAGAGCACTGTAAGTTCACTTATGACTACAGAGTATTAAAGATAATAAAAAATGAATTAATTGAAAGTAATAGCTATAGACATATTCTTTCATATAACTCTATTTTCATGAATTTCACATGCAAGATAATCTTCATTTTTTCTTTTGCACTGGTATATGATTTTGTCCAGAACAGTTAAACCATTGTTTCTGTGATAAGATGGAATTCCAGTTTTGTAGAGAAAAGTTAAACAGACCAAACATAGTTGCTAGATAAAACTATTACCATTCTGAATGCTTGGTTCACAACTATGGCATCATGAAGAATTCTTGATACTATCTGTGAACAGCATTCATAACCTCTGCAGTTTGTCTGAGTAAACGTCAGAGTGCTCAAGGAGAGAGCGATATTAAACAGACTACCTTGCACCAGAAAGGGAGGGTGGGGGAGAAAAGGGCATAATATTTATGAGTCCAGGAACTATAAGTTGTAATTTAATGAGATCAAAGCATTTGCTGTTTATTTGCTGCACTAGCCGCTTTGGATAAACTAGTTAGAAAACAGATAATGTTTTTTTTAAAAAGTGCAGGATATTTAAAAGATTATAAAGGCTGTAAAATCAAAGGCATATTTTAAATGGAAAATCATGTTGTAAAGGTTTCTAATATTAAATTAATTTAGTGTTCTCTTGAGATTAAGTAATTAATGTTACAGAGAAAGCAAAGATCCCAAAAATTTATGGTCAGTTCCTGTTTTTGCCAGATATCCACTGCTCTTCCTTTTTTTCTGCTATTTCCCAGAAGTACCCAGACGTTGTCATTGGTGTACTAATGGGTACTTTACTCCTGTTGTATGGCTCAGCATAGGCGTTCCCTACCCATATCAACTATAATGTAACTCTAGTACTTTTGTAATAGGGAGAGGCAGTAGCAATATTTATACAACCCCTCATGGTAGATGACTTGATGCTTTTTTTTTTTTTTTCACTGATAGTTAAAACATAAACAGTTATTACTATTCATTTAATGTATATTACTTAATTTCATTTATTTTGGTGTTTCTGTACTTTTTTAAAGAAAGGGCACAAGTCAGGATAGTCTAAAGATTTGTCTGTTTTGAGTTGCAATGCTGATACTGGATGAACTATTTATGCATGTTTCCTGTGTTAAGGAACTGAAGAAAGTAACTACAGACTTGATAAGATCCAAGGTCACATGTCAGTACAGGGTGGGAGAAGAAAACATCGATCTTACAGCAAAGGAACAGCAGTTACAAGAACTACAACAAAAAATCAGAATGGTATTCAAGAAGCTCTTAACATTTGTTGGCTAATGTTTCCTATTGCTCATTTAAAGAACACATCTGTAATGATTTCCAAGTGATGCATACATGTTGCTATACAGTTTTGTGAACTGAATATATTTAGTGACAATTATTTGATTTTAAATACTACATTTTCTAGGAAACTAACTAAATTATAAATGTAAGATATTTTAGTATTTATAAGATCAAATTTCTTTCAAGCACTAAATTTAATTAAATAGCTCTAGATAAGGATGAAAAATCAGTTTAATGTAATTTTATTAAAGAAAATATTATTAATATTAAAGATTGTTGCATAATATTTTCATACATTACTTAGTGTTCATTTTATATTTTGTTAAGGAAACAGAGATTAATAAAAAGCTCAGTGAAGAAAATGCACACATTAAAGAAGAGAAACAGGTGAGTGGTTAATGCAAATTTGCTGTTTAAAGTTGATTAATAATACTTGTGATCTAAAATATTTGGCTATTTAAGAAATATGTGCTAAACTCTTAAAATTAACAGTGTTCAGAATTTTACTTTTCAGAAGTAATTTAATGTTGATTTTAATAATAAAAACAGGATCTTACTGTTTTTATATCAGATCAATTAATAGGACAAAAATTCTTTTATTAATTTTGTTTTCCACATTATATTTCCAAGTCTTCATTTATTTATTTAACTTTCAGTCAAGAGAAACCTGGCATGCCAATGAAAATAATCTTCTACATATGTATTCAATAAAGATATGCAGTGAGGGTTGTAGAATACTTGTTCCCTCTTTCTGCACACTGGTACCCAACAAATTACTTGCATTTCACTAGTAGTCCATCGAGTGAAAATTGGGATCATGTGTCAAGCATCCAAATAAACTACTCAAACACACACTGACTGTAATAGCAGTGTACTTCACTGCTTTGCAGGATATCTCATGTAAAAGTGATCTTTTCTTAGGTCATAAAAGACTCCCTCCCCATAGGTCATTAATACCAGGCATGTCAAAGAAGTGACGTACTTGTTCTCAGGGAGGGGAAAGAACAGAATACTGACCACTTTACCCATTAAAGGATGATCTAGCAGTACCATCACAGTTTCAGAAGACTGTATTTTGACTTTGTTTTTGAAGAATGCTTGACAGTAGAACTAGAAAACATAGGTAATGGATGCTGATTAGAGTTTAACTTAATGATTCTCACAGCCCTAAGTTGTACTAAAAATACGCCATAGAGTGATGCTTTCAATCTGGTGTATGCGTATGTTTGTATCATTTGAGAGTATGGTCACGTATTCCCATTTAAAAAAATAAATCCACTAAGAGCCTCCTGCCTCCAATCCAAAAAAAGCCACTATGGCTAAAAACTCATAAAAGAAGCAGGTAGAGACAAAAAGACATCTTTTTAAAAATTTGAAGTCAAATCCTACTCTGATAAATAAAAATCAACTCTGGCGAGCCAAGAGCAAAACTGTAATTAGGCAGGGCAAAAAAGATTTGAAGAGCACCTAGCAAAAGACAAACTAACAACAAATTTTTTTGCAAGTACATGAAAAGCAGGAAGCCTGTCAAACTCAGTGGCACCACTGGATGATCAACATGCTAAATGAGCACTCAAAGAAGACGAGGCCATTGCAGAGAAGTTAAATGAATTCTGTGCATCAGTCTATACTGCAGAGGATGTGAGGGAGATTCCCACATCTGAGCAATTCTTTTTAGGTAACAGATCTGAGGAACTCTCCCAGACTGAGGTGTCATTAGAGGAGGTTTTGGAACAAATTGAGGAATTAATCAGTAATAAGTAACCAGGACCAGATGGTATTAACCTAGGAGTTCTGAAGGAACTCTCATATGAAATTGCAGAACTACTAACCGTGGCATATAACCAGTCACTTAAGTCAGCCTCTGTACCAGTAGACTGGAAAATAGCTAATTTGACACCGATTTGTTTTTAAAGGTTCTAGAGGTGAACTTGGCAATTACAAACGGGTAAACCCAACTTCAGTACCAGGCAAATTGCTTGAAACTATAGTAAAGAACAGAATTATCAGACACTTAGATGGACATGATATGCTGGGGAAGAGTCAACATGTTGTGAAAGGAAATCATGCCTCATCAACCTGTTAGAACTCTGTGAGGGGGGTCAACAAACATGTGGACAACAAATATGATCTAGTGCATATAGTGTATTGGACTTTCAGTAAGCCTTTGACTAAGTCCCTCACCAAAGGCTCTTAAGCAAATTAAGCAGTCATGGGATAAGAGGGAAGGTCCTTTTATGGATCAGTAACTGGTTAAAAGACAGGAAACAGAGTAAGAATAAATGGTCAGTTTTCACAGTGGAGAGATAAATAGCAGGGACCCTCAAGGATATGTACTGGGACCATTGCTGTTCAACATTTTCATAAATGATCTGGAAAAAGGTGTAAACAGTGAGGTGGCAAAGTTTGCTCATGTTACTAACCTATTCAAACTAGATCCAAAGAGATCTCACAAAACTGGATGACCGGGCAACAAAATGACAGATGAAATTCAATGTTGGTAATACACCTTGAAAAACATAATCCCAAATATACATACAAAATGATGTAATCTAAATTAGCTGTTACCACTCAAGAATGAGATCTTGGATTCATTGTGAATAGTTCTCTGAAAACGTGTTCAATGTGCAGCAGCAGACAGAAAAGCTAAGAGAATGTTAGGAACCATTAGGAAAGGGAGGGATAAGAAGACAGAAAATATCATAATGACACTATATAAATAATGGTATGTCCACACCTGGAATATTGCATGCAGTTCTGGTTGCCCCATCTCAAAAAAGATATATTAGATGTGCAAAGGGGACAAAGAAGGGCAACAAAAATGATTATGGGTACGGAACAACTTCCATATGAGGAGAGATTAAAAAAGACTGGGTCTGTTCAGCTTGGAGAAGAGAAAACCAAGGAGAATATGATAGATGTCTTGAAATCATGAATGCCGTAGAGCAAGTAAATAAAGTGTTATTTACTTTTTCACATAACACATGAACCAGGCGTCACACAATTAAATCACTAGGCAGCAGGTTTTAAACAAATAAGGAAGTACTTCTTCTGCCAGGAGATGTTGTGAAGGCTGAAAGTATAACTGGTTTTATAAAAAAGAGTTAGATCAGTTCATGACTAGGTCCATTGATGGCTGGTAGCCAAGATGGTCAGGGATGCTCTGGGTGTCTCTAAACCTCTGACCACTAGAAGCTGGGCCTAGCTGACAGAGGGTGAATCACTCAATAAATTGTCCTGTTCTAGTCACTCCCTCTGAAGCATGTGGCACCCCGCCAGTGTTGGAAGACTGGATACTTGGCAAGGTGGACCATTGGTCTGACCCCATATGGCCATTCTTATGTTTGACAGTGCCCACTTGTTATGGAATGTTAAAATATTTTCAGTTTTTGCTTTTTGCTACTTATGTTTTGAATTGCTATTTTGTTTGTTTAGTTTTTGCTTATTTTGGAACAGATCTCAAAAGTAGGAGAAATCTTTCTTGATCACAGGATGAGATATATAGTTTTACTTCACACTTTCTCCAGGAACTTGTGTTAGAAATCCTGTTCATTGTATTCATATATACAGAGCTGACTTCAGTCAGCACTGGATGAGACATTAAGCATTATCTAGATTGTATGACAAACTATACTTTGTATAAGTGGAAAGGCAGTGTTGCCTAATTGACAGAGCACTGCAATGGACTAAGGAGCCCTGGATTCTTCTCCTGACTCTTCCACTGGCCTGCTGGGTGACTTTGGGTAACTCACGTCACCTCTCTGTGCCTCATTTTCCCCATCTATAAAATGGAGATGATATTGACCTTCCTTTTAAAGAACTTTGAGAACCATTGATGAAAAATTCTGTGTAAGAGCTAGGTGTTATATTTACAAATAGAGAGAACTTTTTTTTTTAAAGTAGCGTAGGATCTGATTTTCTTTCAGACCTCCACCTGGTCTCTAATTTTATGTGTACAGATGCTAGTACTTAAACATTTAGTTACCTGATTTTGCCTGGAAAAAGAGACTACCTACAGCATATGAAAGTCAGAAAACTTTCCCTTTGGAGGTAAAATAATGTATGAGTTTGGTCTTTTTCAATTCCATTCAACATTTAAGAATATTTTCTATCCCAAAATCAGTTATGTCACATATTGCATCTGTGCAAATCATTTACTAGTAGCTATTGGATTAGTGTTTAGGAGCATGTTCTGTAGGGATTTGTGTGTATATATATTGCTTGTTTAGGTCATTCTCTCTATCCTAGGACCTTCAGAAATGTGTCTTACATATTGTTTCATGTAAAGTGGCTTTTATTTTCTCCATCACATCAGCTTTCTCAGTTAGTTAGCAGGCTTTGTCAACAGAGTCACCATTTTATGTGTTTTATGAAGATACCGTGGTCTTTTTAAAATCAGTCTACATTCTTCAGGGTGATCATAGAATCATAGAATATCAGGGTTGGAAGGGACCTCAGGAGGTCATCTAGTCCAACCCCCTGCTCAAAGCAGGACCAATCCCCAATTAAATCATCCCAGCCAGGGCTTTGTCAAGCCTGACCTTGAAAACTTCTAAGGAAGGAGATTCCACCACCTCCCTAGGTAATGCATTCCAGTGTTTTACCACACTCCTACTGAAAAAGTTTTTCCTAATATCCAACCTAAATCTCCCCCCCGCAACTTGAGACCATTACTCCTTGTCCTGTCATCTGCTACCACTGAAAACAGTCTAGAGCCATCCTCTTTGGAACCCCCTTTCAGGTAGTTGAAAGCAGCTATCAAATCCCCCCTCATTCTTCTCTTCCATATACAAAACATCCCCAGTTCCCTCAGCCTCTCCTCATAAGTCATGTGTTCCAGTCCCCTAATCATTTTTGTTGCCCTCCGCTGGACTCTTTCCAATTTTTCCACATCCTTCCAGATCCCAGATTTACACCTTAATCAACCCGTTATTCGGGTGGTTCTCTTTTTCAGATCTTATTTTTCTTGAGATGCAGACATCCTTCAAAAGATACAGTCCTGCAGTCTTTAAATTCCATCGTCCTGGAGAGCATTTCCTGCCGTTTAGAGTGTATTCCATTCAATAACACTGAGTTCTTCTTAAAAAGACAATCTCTCTCTGCAGGACAGGAGAAATGTTAAGACTCTAGGATTGTAGTATAATAGGAGCCCTTCAGGAGTAAGGTAGTGTACTGGGTTAGTGTACTGGCTTTTCACCTATGGAGATCTGGGCTCAAAATTTTGTCACAAAAAGAAATTAATTTGGTGGTTTCATCTTGTTTAACTATGGTGTAGATGTTCAGGCTGTAGCCTGGGTTCTAGGAGCCTGCAAGGTGGGAGGGCTCACGAGCCCAAATGTCTACACCGTAATTAAACAGCCCTGTGAGCCTGAGGCAGCTGGCAGAGATCAGCCGCAGGTGTCTAATTGCAGTGTAGCTATAACTTCTGTTCACCATGACACAAAAACACCACAAATTGGGCATAAGATTCTTAGGAGAATCCCAAAACTGGAAGAGCAGCAGGGATATTGCAAGTCAGAACTGTAGTTTGCATTAGTAAGCTGGGGAAGAAATTTACACACTATTACATGGCACTTAAGTGAGAGCTGCTAGTCCCTCACCATCATGAATATTAAATCCTTAAGAGCCACACTTTAAACCCTATATAGTGGTGAGTAGTTATTCTTGGGAATTCCTGTGAAGTCAATGGAATATTTGTGTGAGTAACTGCTTACCACTGTCAGTAAGGGATTCAAATCTGGCCCTAAATTCATCTCAAAATTTAAAAATGTGTGTGTTATTTTTAGTTCCAATGGGCCCATCATTGTAGCATCCTGGGGGGATATACCCTAGAAAGATCAGATTCTAGCTGCAAAGTCTGATAAATCTGAACTGTATCACAACATTTTGATGTTCATGTCATAATACACCATTACTGTACGTAAATTCCAGCCCAGTAGACTCTACATTCAGAAGATGGAGAACAGTTTTCAGGGTCATCCATTTGTGAAAGTGGTTGTCTGTTTCCCCTGGGGTCTTCCAAACTGGCAGTGTGATATATTGCTGTAACATTACTCTGCCAAATGTGCTGAACTCAAAACTGAAGAGGCACAATGAATTTGGCTCATTTAAACATGTCTTGTTCAGATGGGCCCAAAACTGTTACTGAACTGTTCATCAGGTGGTATCATATAAGAAAATACCTCGAGAAGAACATTATTATTATATTGTTCCACAGAAAAAGGGCACAGAGGAGTGGAGTTGCTCTTCCGTCTTCCATCAACCCCCTCCCAAAACTGATTATACTGATAATTTAAAAAGAGAAATAGTGATATTAATGTAAATTATGTAATTTATTAATTGAGGAAAGAACACATTTGTTAATCAAAAATAAAGTATTTGTAAAAGATCCATTATTATCTTTATGTTCAAACTTCACAAACTAAACAGATTTAATATACCATGATTTGTTTATTTTCATAAGGAGATTATCAGTTCTCTACAACATATGCAGCAGCTGCTTCAGCGACTGACCCAAACAAATGTCAGGATGGAAAGTGAATTGAATACACTGAAAGAAGAATATCAGGTCAGATTTTTCTTGATTATACAATCTACTACTACCTGCTGTATACTTTTGAAGAGTGTAGGGCTGTTAAAGACATCAGATTGCTTTTCAGAGCTTTTGACCTCCTATCCTCTGGTCCCTCAGCTCCTTAACTGTCAGTATGAACCTTGAAACACACCATATAGTTCCTATTCCCTAAATTCCTCAACAAAAAAGATGGCTGCCAATTTTCACCAATTTGTTTCTGGAGGAAAAAGCAAATCTTAGTTACCCTCAAGACTGTTGTTTTAGTTAAGTGATTTTTTTTTTTAAGATGTGTTGGTTTTTCTTAGAAAGTTGAAACTCTGAAAATCAAAGGGGCAAGATCCTGTCCTCAATTCAAGATCCTGTCCTCAATTTCAGCAGGGCAAAAGGGCTGGCATAACAACATCCGAAGCATAGTGCCACCTTCCCTCACTGTCCATGGCATAGGCTGCATGTTAAAAGTGGTGAAGGGGCAGATCAGGGTATGCTGAATTTGACAGAATTAAACCACCTTCAATGAGTGGCGGTAGCTGTGTCAACAGGAGAGCTCTCTCCCATCAGCGTAGAGCGGCTACACAAGTGATCCTATAGCAGCGGAGCTGTGCCGTTGTAAGGTCTCTAGTGTTGACATAGCCTATCTATCTATCTATCTATCTAAAGGTATTTAGAACCATTTACACACATAAAGGGGATTGTACAGTGAACAAAAAGCTCAGATATTCCTAACTTCCTAATTTCCAACTTGTAGCAGAAGAAGATCTCAAATCAAAGACACACCTGAATTGGAGCACTCATAGGGACACCACTGAAAGAAGAAGAAGAAATAATAATACATTTCTGTTTGAACTGTGAAAGTGAATCTAGCTCCCAATCAGTATATGTATCTACTAAAAACACAAAACCCCACAACTTTCAAAACTGGAACTAATTGATATCCTACTTGAAAGTCTCAGCAAAGAGGCTAAGGAGTGACTGGAGCTTAAAATATCCCCTCACCCTGTGCACACTACCACTGATGCCAGCGGAATTTATGTTGGTCAGAGGTGTGTTTTTTCACACCCCTCAGCAACATAAGTTTTGCCAAAATAAGTGATAGTGTAGACATGGCCTTAGTCATCAGTTTTCCATAATGTTTCCTTTTTTAAAAAAAAACACACACACAAAATCCTTATTTTCTGTGTGAGATTTCCTGCTACTAAGTCAATCCCTTAGAGTAGAACAAAAGTCTCCAGGGTTTAATAACTGTCCATCTTGTAAGGCAGTGATGCTCATTGTGCTTTGGTGAGAGGCAAATGGCATATCTCTCAGGAATGTGCAAGTCCTTCTCAGGCAGAACACAGAACATAAGAGAGACTTGCTTGAATTTATTTTTGCTGGAGAGATTTGTACATCCCTCTTCATGTCCTGGAGTGGCTGGGAATGAAAACTCTTAGCAGTCCTCTTCAAAATGTACTGCTGTCAGCTCTGTAGCTCATTGCTCTGAGGGTCACATCTCTAAGAAAGTCTCTTCTTCAACTGGTAAAACTTCTGAGGTCAGGGAAAGAAAGGAGCACCAATCCTCTAAGGGGCATAAATCCAGGTCACCATCAACATGTCCTAGCTCAAAGAGGCAGAATTCCTCTTGCTCTGCCACAGAATAGGGTAGCTCAGGGCATAGGTAGGGTCCATTTGTCACTGATGCAGCACTGGTTATTTTATGCCAGTTACAGCTGTTGCAGAATGTCATTGTGTGGCTACCAACAGGACAGATGCGACTTTGTCTGTACAAAGTGCAAGGTGGTCTCCATACTGGAAGAGAAGGTTCAAGGTCTGGAGCAACAGGTATCAACCCTGCGTTGCATAAGAGAAACTGAAGATGTCCTGGACGGATGTCAGGATAGGCTTCTACGGGCACAAGGTTCTGAAGATTCAGAGCAGGCTGCACATCGGGGACAGAAGGATGGTGAAGAAATTTGGCATCATGTGACCTCCAGAAGAAAAAAGGGGAACATCCATGTACCAGCAGGGCAGATACAGGTAAGTAACCGTTTTCATGTTCTCGCCACCGGTAATAATGCAGAGAGTGGACCAGATGATACGTCTGAGGGAAGGGAGCAGAAGGAGACTTCACCGATTGGAAAACATGAGATGCACTGTCCTAGGGTTGGGGGTTCCACGACCACCGCTCCCAAGAGAAGGAGGCGGGTGGTGGTGGTCAGGGACTCTCTCCTCAGGGGGACTGAGTCATCTATCTGCCGCCCCGACCGGGAAAACCAAGAAGTCTGCTGCTTGCCAGGAGCTAAGATTCGTGATGTGACGGAGAGACTGCCGAGACTCATCAAGCCCTCAGATCGCTACCCCTTTCTGCTTCTTCACATGGGCACCAATGATACTGCTAACAGTGACCTTGAGCGGATCACTGCGGACTACGTGGCTCTGGGAAGAAGGATAAAGGAGTTTGAGGTGCAAGTGGTGTTCTCGTCCATCCTCCCCGTGGAAGGAAAAGGCCTGGGTAGAGACCGTCGAATCGTGGAAGTCAACGAATTCCTACGCAGGTGGTGTCGGAGAGAAGGCTTTGGATTCTTTGACCATAGGATGGTGTTCCAAGAAGGAGTGCTAGGCAGAGACGGGCTCCACCTAACGAAGAGAGGGAAGAGCATCTTCGCAAGCAGGCTGGCTAACCTAGTGAGGAGGGCTTTAAACTCAGTTCACTGGGGGAAGGAGACCAAAGCCCTGAGGTAAGAGGGGAAGTGAGATACCGGGAGGAGGCACAAGCAGGAGAACGTGAGAGGGGAGGGCTCCTGCCTCATACTGAGAAAGAGGCGCGATCAGCAGGTTACCACAAGTGCCTATATACAAATGCACGGAAGCCTGGGAAACAAGCAGGGAGAACTGGAAGTCCTGGCACAGTCAAGGAATTATGATGTGATTGGAATAACAGAGACTTGGTGGGATAACTCACATGACTGAAGTACTGTCATGGATGGATATAAGCTGTTCAGGAAGGACAGGCAGGGCAGAAAAGGTGGGGGAATTGCACTGTATGTAAGAGAGCAGTATGACTGCTCAGAGCTCAAGTATGAAACTGCAGAAAAACCTGAGAGTCTCTGGATTAAGTTTAGAAGTGTGAGCAACAAGGGTGATGTCATGGTGGGAGTCTACTATAGACCACCAGACCAGGGGGATGAGGTGGACGAGGCTTTCTTCCGGCAACTCGTAGAAGTTACTAGATCGCAGGCCCTGGTTCTCATGGGAGACTTCAATCACCCTGATATCTGCTGGGAGAGCAATACAGCGGACCACAGGCAATCCAGGAAGTTTTTGGAAAATGTAGGGGACAATTTCCTGGTGCAAGTGCTGGAGGAACCAACTAGGGGCAGAGCTCTTCTTGACCTGCTGCTCACAAACCGGAAAGAATTAGTAGGGGAAGCAAAAGTGGATGGGAACCTGGGAGGCAGTGACCATGAAATGGTCGAGTTCAGGATCCTAACACAAGGAAGAAAGGAGAGCAGCAGAATACAGACCCTGGACTTCAGAAAAGCAGACTTTGACTCCCTCAGGGAACTGATGGGCAAGATCCCCTGGGAGAATAACATGAGGGGGAAAGGAGTCCAGGAGAGCTGGCTGTATTTTAAAGAATCCTTATTGAGGTTACAGGGACAAACCATCTCAATGTGTAGAAAGAATAGTAAATATGGCAGGCGACCAGCTTGGCTTAACAGTGAAATCCTTGCTGCTCTTAAATACAAAAAAGAAGCTTACAAGAAGTGGAAGGTTGGACAAATGACCAGGGAAGAGTATAAAAATATTGCTCAGGCATGCAGGAGTGAAATCAGGAAGGCCAAATCACACCTGGAGTTGCAGCTATCAAGAGATGTTAAGAGTAACAAGAAGGGTTTCTTCAGGTATGTTAGCAACAAGAAGAAAGTCAAGGAAAGTGTGGGCCCCTTACTGAATGAGGGAGGCAACCTCGTGACAGAGGATGTGGAAAAAGCTAACGTACTCAATGCTTTTTTTGCCTCTGTCTTCACGAACAAGGTCAGCTCCCAGACTACTGCACTGGGCAGCGCAGCATGGGGAAGAGGTGACCAGCCCTCTTGGAGAAAGAAGTGGTTTGGGACTATTTAGAAAAGCTGGATGAGCACAAGTCCATGGGGCCAGATGCGTTGCATCCGAGAGTGCTAAAGGAGTTGGTGGATGTGATTGCAGAGCCATTGGTCATTATCTTTGAAAACTCATGGCGATCGGGGGAGGTCCCAGATGACTGGAAAAAGGCTAATGTAGTGCCCATCTTTAAGAAAGGGAAGGAGGAGGATCCTGGGAACTACAGGCCAGTCAGCCTCAGTCCCTGGAAAAATCATGGAGCAGGTCCCCAAGGAATCAATTCTGAAGCACTTAGAGGAGAGGAAAGTGATCAGGAACAGTCAGCATGGATTCACCAAGGGCAAGTCATGCCTGACTAATCTAATTGCCTTCTATGACAAGATAACTGGCTCTGTGGATGAAGGGAAAGCAGTGGACGTGTTGTTCCTTGACTTTAGCAAAGCTTTTGACACGGTCTCCCACAGTATTCTTGCCAGCATTAAAGAAGGATGGGCTGGATGAATGGACTATAAGGTGGATAGAAAGCTGGCTAGATTGTTGGGCTCAACGGGTAGTGATCAATGGCTCCACGTCTAGTTGGCAGCCGGTATCAAGTGGAGTGCCCCAGGGGTCGGTCCTGGGGCCGGTTTTGTTCAATATCTTCATAAATGATCTGGAGGATGGTGTGGATTGCACCCTCAGCAAGTTTGCAGATGACACTAAACTGGGAGGAGTGGTAGATACACTGGAGGGTAGGGATAGGATACAGAGAAGTTCCCTAGAAGTTTTTAAGGTCAGGCTTGACAAAGCCCTGGCTGGGATGATTTAGTCGGGATCGGTCCTGCTGTGAGCAGGGGGTTGGACTAGATGACCTCCTGAGGTCCCTTCCAACCCTGATATTCTATGATTCTAACTGAGCGCTCCCTTATGGCCTT